GTGTGTGTGTGTGTTTGTCTGTCTGTGTGCGTGTGTGTGTCTGTATGTCTGGTTGTGCGTATTCGAAGATACACGCGTATGATAGATGTAGCAGTAATTGTATGCAGTGTAAATATCTCTGTCAAACATGACGAGTGAGTGTTTGTTTAATGTGTGCTTGCGTACATGAAGTTGTGTGGGTGGCATACCACATACCTGTGTGTACACGTGTGTGTACACGTGTGTGCTTGTGCGTGTGTGGGCGTGCATAAATTTATAAGCAAACTGTTGATATATTTGAAAATAAGTCTGTCTGTAAATACTCAAAGAAACAATCTTCCAATTTATTCTGCTCGCATTGAGTGACCTTCTTTCTGTTTGTTGATGGATTAGGAAGAGGCTTCACGTGTCCTTTCTTGTTCGTACATTTAATTCATTCAATATTATTAATAATTTCAATGTGCGCTTTTGTTTCTTTGTTTTTTAATCATGCGTATTGCTGTGGGGGCGTGTGTGCCTCTTTTCAATTGTACAGCGGAGAGAGATCTGTCTTTCTGAGTTCAACGGTTTCATTTGTAATTTTCATTCTTTATTGAAATGGTTTGAAAAATTCTGTTTTTTTTAGACATTTTAATTTTTAAACTTTTTTTTATTTCAATTTTACGTACAACTCAGAAAGCACTTTCTAGATACATGCATACATTTTGTACACTCACACGCGCATTCACACCAGAGCGTAAGGTGTGGTGTGGTGTGATATGTAGTATGGCTTATACATATCATCCATCATTGTTTATCTAATTGATTGCGTGCCAGAGGATGCGTGTGCGTGTGTCTGTATGCGCGTGTCTGTATGCGTGTGTGTACACGGCTAAGCCGGAAAGCTAGTAGGCTTAACAGTGCGTAACGTAACATTAATTTATCACGCAACCTCTCATATACTAACGTGCAGCTGATATGTATGGTACGGATACTCATATGTATCAATCTGAATGCATATATATATTGTATGTATGAATATTTGCGTGTTATCTATGTAATCATTGTAGATTGATGACCGAATGGAAGAACTCTTACTAGCTACCTACCTGTGCGTGTGTGTGCGTGTGTGTGTGTGTGCGTGTCAATATATGTAAGAAATATACATATATGCATTGTGTTATAGCATCTGTACATATAATGGAAGAAGTAATTTCAAGTTCAACAACCAACAACATTCAGGCAGAATGTATATATTGTAGAAATTTTGGAAACTTTTAACGAAAGCTGAGTGATATATTTGTTATCCACACATCACCAGTAAGAATGCGGCAAACACACACGAGCCCCACACCACAATAAACACAGAAATAACTCAACGAAACATAAAAACTAATGATAAAAACAAACACCACCACCAACAACATCCATAGCTCCGAATCAAGTGACTGACAATCAATTTCAGAGATAATTTATCATAGCTGTTGTTAAATATTAAACAAACGAACGAACGAACGAACGTACGAACGAACGAACGAACCGAAGACCGAATTAACGTAACTTATATATACGATAATTATTGTGTCAAGTAAATAAGGCAGCAGTGATAAAACAATCTCAGCGACCAACAAAACAACAACAACAAAAACACCACCGCCAACAACGAAACCAACCGGATGGACTCCTGTGTCGCTTTAGCAAATAAAATACGTAGATGGCCGCTACAATTACCAAAACGCTGATCGTCACGATGGTGACAACGGCTATCAGCTGTCGACCGTTGCTTACGACTGAAATTAAATTAAATTCAAAATATTGCCAATTTATGGGTTTAATGGAATTATTTATATTAATGGTACTCTCAGTAACTCTCTCTTTTATTCTTTATTCTTTCACTTTTCTTTTTTCTCTCCTACTCCTCTCTCTCTCTCTTTCTCTTTCTCTCTCTCCTCTCTCTCTCTCTCTCTCTCTCTCTCTTTCTCTCTCTCTCTCTCTCTCTCTTTCTACATAAACGATACAAAACGTACAGGATGCCAGGCACATGCTGGCGTTGTGTTTCTTCATAAAATCATCCAACCCCTCCTTGGTTGTATTGATAACCAGGTTCTCAAACGACATGTTGAACTCTTTATACTGCGATCTTATCTGTTGCGTGAAGGTGGCAATGTTTGGGGTGAGTGGTGAATTTAATTTAGAGTAATATTTTATGTCGGGAATGTGAAACTTTTTAAATAGTATAATAGATAGATTTAAATAGATGCAAATTATATATGCATCTGTGTGTATATGCGTGCGTGTGCGTGTATGTGTATGTGTGTTTTTGTGTGTGTGTGAGATGTGACTAAAAATGTTATTCTCTAAAAAAGGAACACGAAAAAATATCTTTTAAAAACGTTATTGAAAATCTTAAGTAGCGGTGTTGCAAATATGTACGTGGTCTTTTTGTGTAAAAGACAGGACAGATTTTGAACATGAAAAAAATTCAAAAGTCAATTTTTTATGTGCAAAAAATGGCACATCTAAAAATTTTGAATTTGAAATGTCGTTGAATATATAGATTAAAAATTGTATCAAACTTTAAATCTCGTTGTTTACAGTAATTTATACATTTGTGCAAACTTCAAATCAAAAGAAGGTTGTAGCAGTTAAAACATTTCACAAAAGGTTTGAAATATTATTGGGAAAAAAAATTAAAAATTTGAATTAGAAAGCTTTCATTGAAGAAATAATACCAAGCACATACAATAATATTAACAACAACAACATTTAAGACCAAAAACTAGCTACAATATTAAAAATTAACAAATCAAAAAAAATTTTGATAAAATTAATCGTCTGTCGGCAGTTGGAAACACCCACGTGGAATAGATGATTCCCGTCCTCCCTAAGTACCAAATGAACTTCGGTGCTGTTTAAAATGAACTCGTGTGATGCGGGATAGCTGTCTAGCACCACTATTGTCTTTACGTGATTGGCTGGCGATGGTGGGGTACGATGATGTGGTGGCGATGTGGTGGCTGGCGGTGATGGTGATTTCGTGGTGATGATGATGATGTCGTGGTGATGATGATGATGTCGTGGTGATGATGATGATGTCGTGGTGATGATGATGATGACAATGAGGATGGCTGTGATGTTGTTGATGATGAATTGAACGAGTTGACGTTTGAAAATAATTGAAAGTATTGCTAATCCAAGAGCGTGGCCAAAATTATCGTAACAGTGCTTTTAAAAAGATTAGTAAAATCGCACGGAAAAAATAATTTTAAATTATGCAAACAAAAAAACCTATCGTCGAATTCAACAAATACTCTCCAATATCCAAATCCAAATAAAACTCGACGTGAAACAATTCATTTTCAGCGTCAAATGTGACATCGACACATTCAACTTTCGGAAAAATTGAAGTCACGTTCGGTTTGAAAAAAGTCGCGAAAACGTTTTGAAGTTGTTGTTGTTGTTGCGTGTGTTTATGTTGTTGTTTTGGTTTGATTTTGTGTTTGCTGTCGGTTAAACGTCTTTGAGATTTTGGTTGCTGTTTAGTCCTGTTGTACTGTTTGTTTAAACTCTTACTGCTGTTTGGGCTGTTGTTTATGTTTCTGTTTACAACGTTGTTGTTGTTGTTGTTGTAGTTGTTGTAGTAGTTGTTGTTGGTGTTGCTGGTGGTGGGGTTATCTGTTTCGGTGATGTTTGTATCGCTCTGGCTGTGCACGGAGTTGGAGTTGGTACTTGCAGTAATGCCTGTGTCGTCTTGAACGATTCCAAGGGTCATCTTTTTACCATCGCTATTATTACTATTATAATTATAATTATTATTATTATTATTGTTGTTGTTGTTGGTAGTAGTAGTAGTAGTAGCGTTGGTTTTGAAGATAAAGAAGCGATAAACGTCCCCACCGTGATATCTATAATACTGATGATGACCTCGATAAAAATGATGATGATTGAAACTATTACCATCACCGCCACTGCCATCATCATCATCACCATCATCATCATCTTCTTCTTCTTTTACTACAATTACTTCCATTTCTCCGTCAGTATTAGCGCTTCGCCCGTTATCTGGATATTAAGTGGTCTTATCAGTAGATTTATAACTGTTAAAAATTATTTTACTCATTCAAGTAAACACCATCCATTCATCCACTCAATGCCTGTCTATGCATCCATCCATCTATCCATTTATTCATCCATATATCCAATCATTCATCCATCAATTTATCCATTCGTCTGTCCATCTATCTATCTAACTATCCACCAATCCATTCATACATTCATGATATTTATCTTATACAGTCGTCCATGCATACATTCATCCATTTATTTATCCATCTATCCATCAATCTATCCATCCATCTATTTACGTCACTTCATTTTTTACTTGAGAAAAAAAATTATCAACACAACAACAATATCAACATCAACACCACTACCACCAACAACAACATTAACAACATCAACAACAACAACACTAACAAAAGACACTAAAAACAATAACAGCAACAATGACATCATCGTCGTCATCATCATTTTGAAATTTCACCAACATATATCACGATAGTGAGTGGGATCGATGGTGAATGATTCACTCATGAAGTAACTTGGATGGAGATGATGGTTTGAGCTGTACAACCTCATTTCGTGGTATGAATTTTTTGTAAACTGCAGTTGGCTGCCTCGAAGCAAGACGAGGTTCGTCACCTAATTGTAATGTTAGTGATTAGTATTAAAGATAAGGATGGTTATAATTGACAATGTTATGGTGTTTTTCATTCGTTCATTCATTCATTCGTTTGTTCATTTTTTTTGTCTGTTCTTTCGTCTATTCATTCGTTCGTTTTGTTCGTTCGTTCATTTGTTTGTCGTTCGTTCGTTCGTTTTTTCATTCAGTCATTTATTTATTCATTCGTTCGTTCGTTCGTTCGTTCGTTCGTTCGTTCGTTCGTTCGTTTATTCATTCATTCATCCATCCATCCATCCATCCATCCATCCATCCATCCATCCATCCATTCATTCATTCATTCATTCATTCATTCATCCAT